TTGATATATAAATGTACTAATTCTTCTCCTATTTGATATTATCATTTAATAAAAAAAAAAAAAAAAAAAAAAAAAAAAAATTACAAGGAGAAAAAATCATATAAAAATAAAAAATAATGAAGCTATGTTCTTGCTTTATTTGATCAAAATTTTTTTTGCTAGAATAACAATATACAATTAAAGAAATTATATTTATTTTTTGTTTAATAATTTTTAGATTTACTATCTAACAATGAACTATCATAAGATCTTGTTTTTAAAGTTAAAGCATTAATTGACTTTGCTCCATCATTTCATACTTCTTCATGCTTTATTAATATTAATGAAATAAAAAATTCAGACAATTTCACTTTAGTAAAATTTGCAAAACCAAAAGATAAAAAGTTTTCAGGTTTTAGTTTAGATAGCATTAGGTTATTAGTCATAAAGTAGTAGCAGTATCATCAAGATGTGGTCTAACTTTTAAGACTGCAAAACATAATATATTTAAGGTATTATATTAGTATATTAATTTAATGAGATACAGTACATAATGTAGGAAATCAATTCAAGAAACCAATATGAGTCATAGTTTAGGAAAATAGGTCTTTGATGATTTTTTAAAAATTTTGAGTTGTTTGATTCAAATTAAAGTACTGGTTTCTAACTACATATATTTTAATTTTTACTCAATGTTAATATAATAATTTATCAAGATATTTTAACTTGAAGGTGATCCAATTTTTAAAAAATTAATGGATCAATTAAATTAGATTAGTTATTAATGTTATATAATCATATGATGTTGTTTGCTTAGTAACTTGTATCTAAAAATAAACAAAAATTCAGAGTAAAATTTAGAATTCACAAACATTAAATCATCATTTTTTCAAAATAGAAACCCCATATGTAATCTAACTTTTAGAGCAGCAAAATATAATGCATTTAAGGTATTTTGGCTTGTTCAAAGCTTTTTTGAACATGTCTAACATCTAAATATCAAAGTGTCTAAAGTGTCTAAGCTATTCATAGCCTTAAATATTTTAGTAAATAAAATAAAAAATTATATGATTATATTCTTTTTTAATTCTAAATATTTTTGCTTAAGAAGTTTAAATAGATTATCTTAATAAAATTTTGAATAAATTAGGTCTGGCAATCTTAGTATAGTGGTTAGGTTGTCAGACTGCCATGCAAGAGGTCTAGGGTTCAAATTCCACTGTCAACGAATTTGAATAATTACCCAGACCTTTGTACTCAACTTATGGTAAACTCTGTTCGTTTCTGGAGTTGTAACCCTGTAAATCACATTGCACTAATATCATCTGAATATTGGAAGTATGATGAGGCATTTGGTGAGATGTAATATTATACAAATAAATCTTGATAGGATCTACTAGCAGGGGACCTGCATAGTAGAAATCCCGAGTTAGTGAAGTAGTATAGCCTTTAATAGTCATACCAGCTGATGCTTGATTCAGAAAAGAAACTATCGATGAAAGATGCAGATTAAGTCAGGTATGCATAAATCTATTCTACAGAGAGGATCGGTAATACCAACCTGGCTTGGTAGCTAACTAGATTGGGAGGATCTGCCTCATGAAATATCCAAGAAGATAGATACAAAACTGGTAGAGAGCTATAGTAGGAACTGGGGTTGTATAAACATCTACAAGAGTCTAAGCTAGATGAATCTGTAAAATGGGTACGGACCACTCTAGTAGGTATGCTTCGAGGTAACTGGCTCTGCGGTATCTACAATATATTAGGTACAATGTATCCCAAGAGGACCTAAGCTGTTCTGAATAAATAGATCCGTAACAAGCTAGCTAGCTTAAGCGGTTAGATGTTATGGTGATGTTAGGTTGGATCTGTATGGGTTAATGATCAGAGTGTTTAAATAAGTAACTCACAGGCAGGTTACAGGTATAGTAGCATAGTGTAGAACTAATCGGGTAGTCTAATCACCTGTACAGCAGACTACTTAAATTAGACAATGACTAAAGTTGTACGTGTGGCTTGTTGTACACTCTTCATGTAATTACAAACAGTAGGGACTATCAATAGATATCCCGTATGCAATTCTAATAAAATTCCTTCGGCAATGTAAGCCGCCTTAATAACAAAAAAAAAAAAAAATTTTGAATAAATTTAGTTTATTTTTTTGTTCAAAATGCCCAAGTTATCCAAGATTATGTCTAAAGGCTGTCTAATGACAATACTGATTTAAGGTATATCAAGGTATAATTACTATAGAAATAAATATTATGTATTATAGTAAGCCAGTATATGAGGAGATATTATAATATTAGATGCATGTTTAATTACACAGGAGAAAAAATTAGTAAAAATAAAAAATGATGAGGCCATGTCCTTTCTTTATTTAGTAAAAAATTTTTTTTTGCTGGAATAACAATATACAATTAAAGAAATTATATTTATTAATTTTTGGAGTTTACTATAATCTAACAAAGAACTATTATTAGATCTTGTTTTCAAAGTTAAAATATTGATCGATCTTGTTTTTATTATTTTGAATTTCTTTATACTTTCCTAATGTTAATGAAATAAAAAAATTTAGAAAAATATTGCTTTAGTAAAATTGGCAAAACCAAAAGATAAAAAGTTTTCTTACTAGTTAGAATAGTTTTTGCAGGTTTTGGTTTAGATGGTATTTGGATTAAAGATGCTTAACAAAACTATTTCTGAATTGACAAATGAGATCATTAAATGACAATTCTGATAAAACTGTTGATGATTAATGAAACAGTGATGATTGATGAAACTGGTAACAATTGATAAAACTATTGACAAAATACAAAATATAAAAAATCATTCTATAAAAAGATAATACAAAGCTTTATTTATTATACTTTTAAATTTTATATATTTTTCTAAGCAATTTTTATACTATATTTAAGTGCTATTTATCTTTTTAAGATTTGATGATATGTTTTCTAAGTGCTATAGGTCAGACTTTAATGCTTCATTTTCATTCTCTATAATACTTGAATCTCTAGTAATATTATCATTTGCATTATTTTTCTCTATAGTATTCGAATCTATATTATCTATAGTATTCGAATCTATATTATTTATAGTATTTAAATCTATATTATTTATATTTAAGTTATTATTTTTATAATCTTATTCTCTCACTAAATTCACTGCCAATTCTGCAAGGTCAAAATCTAATATACCTTGTTCTGTTTTATTACCAGTTAACTTATCATAATTAAGTTTCTCAAACTCATCTTCATAATCTTGAAATTCTTCATTATCACTATCAGATTCACTATCTCGAAATACTTCATCATTTAAAAATACTATATTTTCAATATCAAAATGTTCAATAATTTCTAAATTATATTCAGCTTCCTCTACTTCAAAATCCTCTATAATTCTTTCATTATCTTCAACCAAAAAAGTTACAGATGCAACTTGAACTTGTAAGTTATTCAATGATATTTTTTTTGCTAAAAAAAGCAAGTTTTCTTTTTATATTTGAAATATAAAAGGATCAAACTAGTGCCATAGCTTGAAGCTATGATAAAGAAAGTTTGCATCATCATTTTCCATAAATCTAACCTAATGCTGAAAATGTTCTTTCACAATCAGCAGAATGTAGTGTGATTAAAAAAATTTTAATTGCAAGTTTTCTAATAGATTTAGAGCCAGTATAGTTTGTCATCCACTATAACAAAGGGTTATTAGTTACAAAACTATAAAGCAAGTCAAATCTATCTTCTTTTTCTTGAAATAATTGCATATATGCAATAAGATTTGTATATTTATATTCATCATAGTTTTCATTTTTCCATATTTGAATTGCAATTCTTGCAATTTCTTGAAATTAACTTTCTCATAAACTAGCACCTAATAAAATAAAAAAATAATATTAACTAATTAATATATATTTATTTATTAAAATCTTCAAAATATGCATACTATGATATCCTGAGTAGAGAAAATATGCAAACAAATAAATATCTGTATTAAAATCATTCTATCTTTTATTAAAAACTTGCTTGCAATAATTTTTAAATTTATTAATTTGTAAGTTTAGAATTTTTTTAATAGTAGTTGCCAAATCAATGAATTATACAAAGCAATCTGCAAATATTGTTAATTGGGTCTTCAAGTTTATAATAGCAGTTTGAATTGGAGATAAAATTTTGACTAAAATTTTAAGATCAAAAAAAAAATAAGGTAACTTCAAGATTTGTTTAACAGTACAATTTGTAATTAAGTTCAAATTCTCATTCAAAACCTATATTTTATATAAAATAAAATTTAAATATTAATCTAAAATACTACAAAAACATTAATTTATAAAATAAATATCTTACTTTAATAAATACATGCTCAAGTTGACTAACAGATAAAGTGTATTTATATACTAATGTCTACCTTGTATCTATAAATTTTTTTAATCTGCCACCAGAAATATTTAATTCATGAATCACTTGCTGCAGATATATATTTAGTTGATCTGATTTTTTAAAGTATTTTATAATTTTATTATATCCTTTTTAAGGCGTAAAGCAAAACTATACTCTAAAATAATTATATATTAATAATAATTTAATCATTATAATTCAAATATTTTTAATACATACTTAGAATATCTTTGGATACAAGGTTGATACAATGAGCAATACAGTTTAAGCTTAAAATTTTAGGATATTTTTCATGGATAGTTTGTCATGTAAGCTTCATGTTACTTGCATTGTTTGTAACAATTGCTGTAAATCTATCATGCCTAACTTCATCTAAAATTGTAACAATTTTTTTTACAAGAAATTCAGCTGTATGGAAATTTGCAGAAAAATTATATAATGAATATAAAAATTTGTTGTGCATAAGTGTTAAAATAACATAGCTATATATGGAATTTATATTAGGTAAAGTCTACCTATCTAGTGCTATAAATAAAAATATAATTAGTAATAAATAATATAATTATAAATTTAAAATATTAAATATAACTATACAAAGTTAGATTTTTTGATTTACAAAAGATAGTTTCATACTTAACTATAACTTTAGCATATTCTTGATCTAATATACGTCTAGCTAAAACTTCTCATGATAGTAGTTGATAGTTCAGATATAAATTTTGAAGTAAATCAATAAAAAATAGATTTTCAACTATAGAAAATGAAATACCATAGACTATAAATGTCTTTAATAATGAAATATTTATAGAATTTATTTATTCTTCAGATAAGTCTCCAGATTTTAGTAGAAAAAATTTTGAGAAATTATTCTGCTTATCTAATCTTAATTTTTTTAATTTAGTTAAATTTTCAGGTGACTCTTCTTCATTATTACAACTAGCTACATATAGTAAATATGACTGTTAAATATGATTTTCAACATAAGAGTACTTTAATGCAAGATGAGCTTCAAGCTTTAACTGCTCACCTCTTGCCTATTTAGTTGAACAAAAAGAATACTTTGCTAAGTAATATCTATGCAAGTTTGTTTTTTTATAGTAAAAATATTCTCATACAGGTGCTAATTACATCCTCCAGAGTTTATTCTATTTGATATATTCGATTCAGAAGTATTTGTAATGATGAAATAGAAGTACTAGTTGATGATAAAGCTGAAGCTGAAGCCAAAGAGTCTGGTGATCCCTCTCTTTTAAATATATATGATGAACATTCAGGTACTTTAGATTTTTGTTTGTTTAATGACATTTTTTTTTGTTTTTTTTGTTAATATGTGATAGAAAACAAAATACCAAGAATTGAGGTATTTATATTTTTTTTTTATGATTGTAATTGGAATAGTCAGTAAATTTTGTTGTTTATACTTGTTTGCTTAAATAGCTTCAAAAAAAGATGATAATTTTGAATTTTTTTTTTCTCATAACAAAAGTATACTATGTATTAAAAGTATTTATAGTTTTTTTTTTATAATCGTAAAATTGAATTGTTGTATGATAGTATTTACATACTTTTAAAAAAGGATATTAGGTTACTATAATTTGAAATAAAAACCTGTTACTAATAATAAAAAAATTTTTTATGTTGAATCAAGATTGAAATTGTGATATATGAAGTACACTACTAAGTGTCTCTGAAGGGAGTTATAAAAAAAAAAAAAAAAAAAAAAAAAAAAAAAAAAAAAAAAAAAAAAAAAAAAAAAAAAAAAAAAAAAAAAAAAA